GTATCAAAGGATATCACAATGATATCCTGTCACAATGTGACAAATATCAGAAGTGCGGAAAAAATCTCGATTTACTTTCCCATAAAGATGAGTGTTGTAAAAATATTCCTTTTACTGTTATAATATATATAGAGAGTAAATAAATCATTCAGACAGAGAACAAGACTGCCAAAGTTCCCCTAAATATGTTGCTAAAATTCATTTTTACAATGTTTTCAGATGTAATTTAATTTTTTTTTTCCAAATCAAGGACCCTAGTTTTGGAAAATTGGCTTTAATGTGTGAACAAAATTTTCATTTTTCATGATTAACTATCTTGAAAACAATCCAAAAGTTTTTTTCCCTTTAAAAAAGACATTAAAATATTAAACTATTCTGTGAATTTTAGAGTAGAGTCACAAGACCCGGTATTTTTTATCATGGATGGCGGAAGGGAGGGATTTTCACGATCATATTTTAAGATGACTACTCAGTCAGTTAAGGCGTTAACGTGGGGGCTATTTTTGTGCATTCATGGATTTTCCTGAATACATTCTTTGAAACTATTCTTTTAATATGTATTATTGCCAAACAAATATTTTTTGCAAAGATAAAGAAATATTATTCGTTTGAAGTACATTTTATATAGAATGTTCAAATGTTCAAATGTTCATACCTTTTTAACTGTCTTAGTTTTTCAATGCTGTCTGAAAATGACTTGAAAACATTTAATCTTGGACGCCATTCTTCACCCTCATTTACATCTACTAGTGGCTCACAGACATCCGATATCTTTCTGCAGTCTCTCAGTAATAGTGAACTTGCCTCAGCTTCTTCTGTAATTTTAGAAAATTGTGTGCATTAGATGACATTAACGGAAAAAATTTTGAATTTTTAAGATTTATCGTACTTTTGCATCCTTCGCCTTATACATGTACATGTATGTACCACCCCACCCCCTGGGGATTTCCATCCCTAAAATGACCACATTCTCTATCTTTAAATGTCCATCAAGTATATGTACATAATACTATGATATTGAATTAAGAATTTTATAGTAGAAAAGGATTGACCACCAGAAAGTTTTAAATTTTATTAAATAAGCAGTAGCTCTGTAACAAAGATTGCATTGAAGTCTGTTGGGAAAAGAAAATTTTAAATAACATTAAAAAATAATTACAGGTATATCATAAACTATAATAATATGGTGAAAATAAAAGATTCATCGAAACTTTACTAATGAAATATCAATTGAAAACGATTTTTTGAACAGATGTTTTTTTTTTAAATTTATTCTTTAGTTAATCAAAAACAGGGATATATAACTATTAACCTAATTAAACGTCATAAAGGACACATCGATCATATCCCACTTTTATATGTTAATAAATTGGAATTTCATCTAAGATTATTGAGTAGATATAACACCTAGTACACATTTGTAACTTATTCATTTAATCTATTGCTTTTAGGGATAAAATATCTTGAATTCAAATGTCGTTCAATGTAAATTGAAGTGTACAGAAGTCACTGATTCAGACAACACGTACGATGACAAAGGAATGAGATACCTGCAATGTCAGTACACAGTTGTACGTAGGTTGACACCAGCGATATTCTTTCTCGAAATTCAAAATATTCTCTGAACCTGATTCGAAGCATGTCTTTTAATTGTGAATCGGTCCTGTCGTCGAATCTTAAGGCTTTCCAGGCATCTAGGAAACGTTGTTGATTCTGTTCCAAAATCTGGAGACGGTTAAGTTCAACTTCGCCTGTGAAAATCTGCTCTTTGGTAGATTCAAGTATTGATCTTGCTTGTGTTAATTGCATAGAACAGGCAGCTGATAGAGTTTGTGATAACTGATATCCACCTGTTAGAAAGAGAATAACAATATATATATATTTTTAATTTTATTAGATAATAAGGATTCTAGGAAGAAAAAAAGATCTACACTTTATCAGTGTATAAGTATTTCGATGTAATGACAATTAAACAGCGAAAAAAACCTACAAAATGTTTTCAAAAAGTGAACAAAATGAGGCCATTCTAGTGTACGCTTCAGTATGGTAGATGGACCTTCTTTGTCCAAATTGTTCTCTCTCCAAAAACTCTCAAACACGTTTGAAAGTAGTATTCCATACGTTACAGCTACATTTCCCTTCAGTCCAGAACATTTAAGACCCTTATTTAGGCACTAAAGTAAAAAAAAGAAAAAAAAGAGCTTTAAAGTTTGATTGGCACAGGTATCTTAATTTACCATATGCAATAAGAATGCCAAGAAAACTTAAAATTAAGTCTTTTGTATTTTTCAAACTAAATGACAAATCAACAATCCTTGGTATTGTCTAATTAGGCTGCCATGTAAAAAAACATATGCAAAAACGAGTAGAAATATTCTTAAAAAAGCATATAAACAAAATAGGTTTAAGTAACCAACAATTAGCTCTCTAACAGCTTTCATGCTCATGTAGATTATAGATAAGATTATTGAGATAATTTCAAAAAGGAAAATATTGACAGAGTGCATGATTTACACTAAGCTGGGTTCAATATGAGTTCATTTACTGGGATTAATGAGATGTGGATATAGTAAAAATGAGTCAATGAAATTCGTTTTGTTTAAAAATCTATATCAAATACAAAGTAGTCAGTGTTATAAACCAGATAACTTGACAAATTAAAAAAAAATGGAGAGAAACTTCAAGATTATTTTTAACATAACCTCCGAAGCAAATTTGGCAACTATGTCATGAACTCCTTCGTTGAGTGCTGAATATAAATTACAATACTCGACCACAACTTCTTCTGGGTTTGTATCACTCTACAATAGAAACATACATGTTACATTTTCACTATTTAAATATTATGATTTATAAATTGAATAACATTCAAGTGACATTCAGCCAAATAGTAAAAAGAAATATCAAAGTAATTATGCAATTTCTTATCTCATCAAATGAATATGAAAACCTATGTTTTGAGATGGAGTAAATATACGTGCACATGTATCAATGTATCAAATAAACGACACAAATAAGTTTGACAATTTGTACCTGTTGCAGATGTATTTCTATTTCTTCTTTCGCTATATTGTGAAATGTTGTTCTTATATCTCCTTCAGGTAGCATTATGTTAAAAATGCTACTCCAAGTCTAAAATAAGAAATGCAAACGTAAATATCGTGTTGCTTTTTGAATGTCTGATTTACCAATTGCAGGGAAAGTAAATTTATAGCAAGACTATCATAATTAAACAATAATTAAAATGTTTACATTTTGTTCAGTGAGGATAATAAAAAAAAGTTTCTATTCGTACTTTCCACAATCTAACTCAGATAAATTTCCCTATTTAGGAGGATGGACCGGATTCAAAAGCTTATTATCTAGGGAAAAGGTACCCTTGCAACATCTTCAACTTTGAAACAGTTTTCAACTTATTGACAATAAAAAAATCGCTCCGCGAGTGCTCTTTTAAAAGTCAACAACATAATTTTCAAGTGATATAATCATTGCTGTTATAAAACCGCATTATAAGGGTTATCAGCAGATTTTAAAAAACGTTTAAATCTAAGCATTTTATTTTTCAAAATCTTTTTGAAAGTGTCGAAATAGTTCAGGCGGTAAAGCACTAGCTCCGTGATCGGAGGGCTGTGTGCTATAATCACAGCCAAAACTGATCTAAGCTGACAGAAAAAAATTATTGTTACTTTACCCTCGGTATCTTTAATGAAAGTTGCTAGTCATTTGGATGAGACAGAGGTCCCATGCCAAGGCAGGCGTCGGTACGATAAAGATCCCTTACTACTCGATGGCCCCGAGAGTCGAGTACAGGTCTTAGTTTGTACCCCTTCGCCAATATACGACGAATTCTCAATCAGAGTGAATAACAATCGAACCCCACATACAACAATATACATTCAATCAGTCATGGTATTTTATAGTAACTTGAAGCATCCATTAAAAACCTATTGCTTATATCTTTTGAGATATGAAAACATTTTTGATATCTAATAAGGAGGTACAACGTTACGAAAGCCTATTAGGATCAATCAAAAGAGAAAAAAACTAAAAGGCGATATAACGGCTTTTGAAAAGGCGAAATAACGCGAGGAAGGGCATAATACCGCCTTTTTAAAAGGTGTTGTATGACGCCTTTTGAGTGGAAAGGCGTAATAACGCCTTTTAAAAAGGCGTTATTATGCCTTTCTAAAAGGCGTTATTATGCCTTCCCCGAGGGTTTTTATGCTTTTTGAATAACCATTATTTTGCATTTAAAAGGCCCGTGCTTTTAATACACCACCTCCCCACTCTACTGTCCAAATTCGTGGGGGGACTTCTCGGTAAAACTTTATTTGAATGCAATAATTTGTCACAGTTTTATATACTACAACAAAATGTTCAGGAATCAAGCGATACTTAATTATAATATTTAAACTGTAGCAAGACTTTTCCCAAAAAAGTGTATATGTGTGGAGGGGGTACACCATTCGCACTCGTACTACTAGCCTACTTGAAAAGCTAGAAAAATGGAAACGCGTTATTTAATGTTAATAAATATTTGAAAGATTTAATTAAAACCATCTTAATTTATGCAATTCTCTATATTCCTGCACATCTCACTGACAACTCTTTGCACTCGTATTAAGAGAAGGCAATACTCTACTTGTGAAGATCTAGGACATAGGCAGATGCATCTTGAAGCTTTGCTTGCCATGTTTTAAAATTCATGTCATTTGAAGATATTGTTTTCTCTTCTTGGAAAAAAGCAGGCAAACTATTTGCATTGGTATAGTGACTAATTTAAATCAATGACCCTTGGAAAAGGTGTGTATGGTATTAAAGAAGGACTTAGTTGGTTCAACATTGAAAATATATGACGCATTTAAAAATCTTTTCTTCCAGAAATCTAATTGCTATCTGTTTAAATTATGTTTTGAGGAATTTGACCTATATCTAATCGTAAAATTTATGTCCCGAATATAAGATTTCTGCACACACCCCCACCACCACCATTCGGTTGGGCTAAATATGTTAAGTCATGAATTGAAAAAAGCCTTATTTTGGAAAGGCATAATAACGCTTTTTAGAAAGGCGTAAAACGCGTTATGAAAAGGCATAATAACGCCTTTTAGAAAGGCATAATAATGCCTTTTGGAAAGACGTAATAACGCCTTTTGAAATGGAAAGTCGTAATAACTCCTTTTTAAAAGGCGTTATAACGCCTTATTATGCCTATTATGCCTTTTAATTTTTTTTTTTCTAGATTGATCCTAATAGGCTTTCGTACAATATAGACCACTCATTACCAGATTAAATGATAAGTTTTTACTAGATATACACTAACGGTAATTTGTAATTATTTAATTATTCACTGATATACATTTTGGTTGTATTCTTAGTCAAATATCTCTTTGTTTTGATTTGATTTACCAATAAAAAGATCTAAAAGTTTAATAACTGAATAGATTTTATATTAACGTTATACATAATTATGAAATTCTCAAAATACATTTAATTAGAAACAACCTACACTGAAATACGCATATCCAAATATTATTTTTTTTTTTTTGTTTTCACAATCTTTGGAATGTTTTATGTTGTTAATACTTTACTTGTTTATTTTCCGGCTAAAATATAGAAATGTTATTATAAGGGAAAATGATTTCTGATTTTTTCAATTGAATTAAACTGATTTTTTCCAATTGAATTAAACTGAAGTGTATGAGTAGAAAATTGTTACAGTGTATACAGTGTACATGTATATGGTATATCATCAACAACCTTTAATATATTTCTTTCTGGGTATCGATGGGAAAAATACTGAGACATCCACTTCTTTATTGTTGTCCACCCCTCTTCGGAAACATATTTGTGTATGTCAGTATCACTCGTTGCTTGTATGGCTTTGGAATTCTCGTAAACTACGAGCGATACCAGGAACATCTCAATTCCACAAATATGCAGGTTGTCAAACTGAAGTTTGCCTAGTGTTATTCCAAGTAATTCTCGTGCGATATACTGGTTTAGACACCATTTTGTCTCCTGATTCTCCCTAATACAGAAAAATCTTACATAATTGATAGGTAGTACCAAATAAAATATTAAAACAAATGTGTTCTATGAATATTTAAAAAGGATAAAAATATAAGGACAAATGAGGACAAATAATACAAAAAAACGAAAAAATACCTAGCTGGATTGTAATACCGTATAAGTGGAAATTTTAGCAAGACGCAAATTTAGCGATTTCTCCTTAAAACTGGTATTTCATTATTGGCGAGAAGTATCTTTAGCAATTGTAAGATGCTCACTAAAGATGCTAGTACAAATAACATGCAATTTATTTTTAGCGATATTCAATTTTAGCGATCTCTGCAGCCTCGCTAATACATGTAATGCCAAAATTAAATCCTAGCTAAAATTTCTACTTATACGGTTTAATTATACTTTATCTTTCTTTAATCACACTTATGAATCTATACATTTTTTGTCAATATTTAGGCCATTGCTGTGAAATTTTGATTAAGAAAACAAATTTCACGTAAACAAATATTCATTTTGATTATAACAACAAAAATATTTTTCATGTGTAGGTTTTGAAAACCAAGATTTGTTTGTATCGTCTCTCTTTTATCCACAATAATATTTTATATAGCCAATTTATTTACACGATGCTTACATTGATGGCCATTTCTCGTAGGTTTCTCTAACCTGTTGTACTGTCAATGAAAGTATATTCAGTAACGCCTAAAACAAAAATTCATTAAAACATTTAAGATGATTAAACTTTACAGTAAAAAAAGTAAATTAAAGTTTTTTGTAAAAAATATTAAAATATATTATATACATTCATGTATAGAATTCGCAAATCGAAAAGTTTACCCTAAAGCCAACATTTACAGCTGAATATTGAAACAAGTTAAGTTCAGTGATAATGGATTCTGTTTTTGACTCATTTTCTGAGTATATCTTTGGTATGTAAAAGCTATAGTTTCAGAATGTATAAAGTATACCTAACGTTTACAATCCAAGCATAAAAAGCCATTTTCTTTGTAAATAACTATATAATTATATAGACTTACAAGAGAGCTTACAACATATTGGGGTTAAATTTAATCACCTATAGGTTTCTAAATTTTCGTACATGTCGTTGCAATGGTGATAGACAGGAGTGAGTGTGCAAACCATTATTACTACAGGTACGTAGTTACCAAAAAGATTATCAATTCAAATCAATTTTAGAAGATACATTACGAAGGGAATGTATTTTACAATTACGAATTGTACATGAATGATACTTTTTTTTCTTTTTAAACTAATTTTTTTATTCTTCTTTAAGATCTAAATGGAAATTAAACTTTGTTCGAACCCTCCATCAGCTATAAGTTTCATTTATATGTGCTATTTAATACCTAGATCTATATCATATTACGTTTACAAGCTTTACCGCGCAGTTTATTAAATGTTTCATACATTATTATTACATGTAACATAGATGTCGTTTTAACAGATAAGCAACAAAATAGAAAACAAAACAGCAATCCTTGACGAGTATTGTTCAGTTTTTGACAAATTAAGGATTTCCATCCCTAATGGGACCAAATTCTCTGCCCTTAAATATCTGTCAAGTACATAATACACTGATATTATATTAAAGCATTTTATAATGAAAAAGGATTGTACGTGAGAAAGTTTTAAAAATGTAATTAATTAAGCAGCAGTTAATAAACAAAGATTGCATTGAAGTCTATGGGGAAAAGCGTTTTTTATTCTTTTAATAAAAATTCAAATAATTTAAATATCAATAAATGGAAAGATGAATTAAAAATAGATTGACGATTGAAATCAATTTTTTATCGGCTAATGTTTTTTAAACTGATTTTTTTTATGAATTAAAAAAGGGAAGATAACTCTAACCAAAGTTCAAGGTCATAAATTAGGAGACATCCCACTATACATACTTATGGCAATAAATAAATAAACCGAGTATTCAATGCCTACACATCTGTTATGTATTCAATTTCATTGAATTTGATCCTTTTAGGGATTGAATGCCTTAATAAATGAGTGCAATTTAAAAAAATTCTATCATTTCTCAATTATACTTGAGGTAATGTATATTATGAAAACATACTCCTTTATCCCTGTCAGATGGACGATTTTTAGCTTTCATGTAATAGTAAACAACAGCAAGTATCACTTCACTTGGTATGGCATTTGCACTGCACACTTTGCTGAGTTTTTCCAGTGAAAGAGCAGCAGAGAATGTTCTTGGCAAGAGATAGTCGATTGGAAACATTGGTTCCAGCTTTTTTAACAAATCCATGGGCTCCCTGTTGTAATAAATTTGGGGAGAAAAATCAAACAGGAATAAAATGAAAATAGTTTATTTAAAGTACTGATTTACAGAATGATAAATATTTATCACAGAAAAAATACATGACAATGTATTATTTTTTTAATTGAATACAATTCAATTTATTTACCATTGTTCATTCTTTACAACATTTATTTGATCTTTGATTTCATCTATGCCCCACCACATTGGAATTTCATCGTGGTGATTGAAAGCCATTGGCATTTTCTCAAACATTTTGCATTTTTGGGTGAGCAAATGCAGTAATGGTACGCATTGAAGCCATTCGGGGTTACGTCCTTTTCCAATTAGTTTTAGCAAACCGTCAATAACTTGTCTACAACAAAAAACTTTATATTTTATCTGTATAAACGTTGCCTTACATACGTACATATTTTTGTGAATGAATATTTATTATGTGAATGGATTATAAATCAATATAGATTTATTTCAATTAAATTTTTTCAAACATTCTTTGTATTGCATTTTGTATAAAGCAAAAAGGTAATAATAAACATTTATAGACTAAGTTCATGCAATGTCTTCCTTGTTTCCTACAGCATTAATTATCATCTTAAAATTCTCGACATGTTCAAAATTTTTAAAGTGAGGGGATCAATTTTGAGTCTTAAAGAAGTGTTGCAATGACCACCGTTATAGTTCATTTGTTAATTATAATTATCTAGAAGTTGTAGATAATTTTTGCAAACAAAAAAAAATTACATAAAAATGTTATTATTCACAGCATGTAATAATCAAAATTCATTTTATTTTGTAAAATACATTAATTTTTCAGTGAAATTTTCTTTAAGGAAACATACTCTGTCTCTGTCCCCCACAAAGTTTCTGAGTTTTTTAATTCAGTTTACATAATACATCCACAAATTGAGGGGGAGACAGTAGTAAGCACTATTTTCGAAAGGAAAATAAAAACAGAAAGGGGTCATTATGGGGCTTTTCTACATCAAACTTACAAATGTTATTATTATCATTTTATTAATTTATAAAGCACAAAGATAATGAAAAATTAACAAATTTCGTAACTTTTTAAGGACATTAAAGGCATAAAAAACCCCAAAACATGCTTTCTTCTTTGTTTTAATTTGTAACTAGATTTTAAATATTAATACGTATGATGTAGATTGATAGATATCTTTGATTAGTTCATTGGGGAAATAACAGAATTTATAACAGCCTGGCCCTTGTTTATAAATACTCAGAGTCTGGTAAACTCTTTCAAATCTATTTCTGTCTTTCAATAATTTAACTTTTTTATGTATAGTTCAACTTAATATATATTTAACACATAGCTCGTTAAATATTTAATTACGTTCCGAAAGATCTGATGAATATATTCATATTAACGAGGCCGAGTCTAATTCGAGTGCGCATCACTTTGCGCAGCTTTTTAATTTCATGCAGTTATTTGTGTGACAGTACACCTTTGAAAATTATTTTAATTTTAATACAAAATTAACATTATTTGTAACTCCTACTGATCTGAAAATGTGATTTTACGACAATAATTGGAAAAAGAACGTTGAAATGGCTCTAACAACGTCACCATTTTCGGATATCGTAAGCAATGCATGACGTTGAAGAATGACGCTTGACTCGCTTGTATTTTCAAGACGTCCATGGATATTATACTAAAAGCTGATGACATAACTTCCCAAGAAACAAACTAGCAATCTAAAAATTGCTATTATTGCCGAAAAAAAATGTGCGCCGATAATTCATCTGCAGAGATATGTATTAATACCGTAATGTGGCAATTTTAGAGGTATTTGGCTTCGAAAAAATATACCTAGTAATTATTACCTAGACCAATCGAGATGGTGAACTTTCTTTCAAATTTCACAATCTGGTGACTTTTTACATTAACTTTCATTTACTTGAATGAAAAAGACATCCCTAGGGCTGAAGTACAAAAAATATGGAAAAAATGTAATAATTTGGCGATTTTCCAACAAATCCCCACAGGGCTCAATAGTCAAGTTTGACAACATTTAAGATGCCCCTCTAAGAAATCGGGGTGGTAAACATTCGATTTTTTAAATCCTTAAACAATAAATATAACAGTAAAAATTAATTATCAAGAAATTATCAAAATCCCTAGGGCAGAAATAATTAGACTCGGCCCCGTTTAATACAAATTTTAATTTCTTAGTTACTTTGTATACAGACAATGTTATTTTTTAAATAGCAATTTATTTTTCAATAATTGATTAAATCTTATTTATTGCACTTGTAAAAGATCAGAATTCTGCTTTGGTACACCGTACATGGGCACACTAGGAAATACTTTGTGATATATCAAAGGCTACTGTAGATAGCAGTAGCCGTACAGGGACTAACTGTAGTTATTCTGGGAATATGTACATACTGCGAACTACTGTATTTAAAGAGAAGGCATATCATACCATACTATAGATATACCGTGGAATACTTTGGAAATGGTGTAAGTTACAGAGAGAGAAAAGGAATTTTCATAAGGACATGGGTTTTGAAAGACAGGATTTTTGAGGAAGTGTAGTTATTGATAGTTTCCCCTGATAACTTTTAAAATCTGCAGGAACTGATATCTGTTTTTAGCCAATGTGCTCACATTAGTAAAGAAGTTTATGGATCTTTGGATATTTAAATTTGCTTTGTCAGTCTTCTAAATCTAAGTGCTACTTATCATGCCTTGTTATAGAAACAAACTTATAGAGCTGCAGTCTCATTAAACACTTCAGATATATATATTTGAAGGTACACGTATCTCATTGTATGCACTTACTTTTTAGACTTTCCGATGTGGTGCCCAACTCTGCAGTAACTTTCGGATGAACAGCTTTCTAGATCCACATCAAGGACAAGACCTCTAAATACATCATTTTCGTCTTTTTGTTTTACTTTTAGGTCAAAGAATTCGATGATCATGATTTTCATCAAAGTTATGTTGATGTCTGATTGGAAAACTTGAAGTTTCGCAAAGGATATCTACGACACAAACATAATTTTAATAATTACAAACATACATTCGAAATTGTTTAGTATTTAGATAGTATAAGTGGATGTAAGGGAATGTTTAATTTATATGAAAAACAAACAGTGATATACAATTTGCATTTGAAAAATTCCTTATCTAATAAGCTCAAAAAATATTTTTTAATGAATAATCATCAAAATGGAAATGTTCTATCATGTTATAAAATGAAAATATGAACGGTTGGGGAACATAAAAACAATCAAATCGATTTTAAAAATCAGTAAAATAAAATACATGTAATAGGATTGCTATAGGTCAACTTTAAAATTAGTTCGGTACAAACCATGTTATACAAACAAATATATACTCTATTGATACTTTAATTTAGTACTGAAGATATGGCTGAGTTACAAAGATTTGATTGCCCATTATGGCCTCACCTTACTCCAAGGGGACATGATATGAACAAACTTGAATTAAGTCTAACTGGGGATGTTTCTATATTCATAACACAAATAATAGATTTGCTGATCTTGTTTTTTTTCTTGAGATTTTTGTAAGATTTTTTCTTAGTATTTCAATGTAAAACTTTGATCAACCATTGTGACCCCGCCCTAAGGTAGGGGGTCATAATTTGAACAAACTTGAATCTACACTACCTGAGAACGATTCCACATGAGTTTCATCTTTCCTGGTCCGATGGTTTTGGAGAAAAAAAGATTTTTAAAGATTTTGTTCTCTAAAACAAAATATACTTTGTTCAGTCATTGTGGCCCCCACCCTTCCCCCGAGGATCATGATTTAAAAAAAAATTAAATCTACACTTGCTGACAATGCTTCCACATGATTTTCACCTTTCCTGGTCCAATGGTTCTAGCGAAGATTTTTTTAATATCCTCAATATTGCTAAGTAAAACTTTGATCAGCCATGTGGCACCGCCTTACACCCAAGAATCATGATTTGAACTAATTTGAATCTACAATACCTGAGGATGCTTCCACATGTGTTTCAACTTTCCTACAAGATTTCCTGTTTTTAAGGGAATGCTTTGTTTGCTTTTCCTAGTTTTTTTATGCCTCTATGCAGATTTAAATTAACTGAAAATTCCATTTTTTCGAAATGTTCCAGCTGTTACCATGGCAATCAAGACACATAGCAACAATACCGTGTGCCAGTGCTTTTCGAAATACAGAGAAATTGAATTTGAGCGTTTTTTTTATTTGTTTTAAAAACAATAACGAGGTTTAACTCAGAATTCAAAGGAAGAATTAGGGGCCTTTATACAAAAATAAAGAAACGGGGTGGTTTCTTTTTAACTCAGGTAATATAATATTATAACATTAGTGTATTTCTCTTTTTTCATATTTGAAGCTTTAATAATGAGAAACACTAGAGTAATTCGAAATTATTTCAGTGGAAAAAGATTGTTTTCGGTTCTAATTTTGCATTTTTTAAACGCAACACATAAATAACTTTTATGATTAGTCTGACAATAATAATTATTTTTATCTTTAAATGAGCTATGAACTTAAGTGATAATTCACCTGGCCAATGTGTTGTTTAGTCAGATTTTTACAGAAGCATCCATAGGTTCTGATAAGTCCATAACAAATATCATCTAATTTGCAAATTAATTCCTCTACTTTAGATGTTGTTCTGAGTCTGTCAACTGTAGCTGCTCGTAGGAATGTTGTTACACAGAAATCAATATCATTCCACATGTCCTGTTCGCTAATTCTATTGAAAAAAATGATTTTTTCTGGATGTCCTCTAATTACACCGTCATAGTTGTGCGTTCTAGTCTCATCTAGAATTAAATTAAAAATAATAAAATGAGTTGTGCATTCTCCTTAAAACAAAAGATTTTTTGGAAGAAACGATATTTTTTTCTCCTACTCCATTTATGAAATTCGAAAGTTATTTTCATCACGTTTAACTATGGAATCCGGAAGGGCCATGTAGTTCACTAGCGGGAGATCGATGATGCAATGGTGCTAGAGTGTGATGGCGATGGTGTTATGACATGATGGATTGATAGAGAATATCGCTTCATTGTCATCGTACTGTGGTGTTATCGTCATCGCACCATCGTATCATCGCTATCGCATCATCGAGTCATCGCACTATCGCTTCATAGTGCTATCGCACTATCGTCTTCGCATTGTTGCGTCACGGCAACATCGTCTCCGCTCTATCACACCATCGCTTCATCGTTATAGCACTATCGCTTTATTGTCATCGCATTTTCGCATCGCAACGGCCTTAACCTCGATAGTGCATTGATGCGATAGTGAATTGCATGGCCCAATCCGGATTCCATATTTAACAGTCTATTTTCCAATGTGCGTCCCAAATACAAACGAGTGCATAAATTATTAAAAAAAAAAGGTTCTTAGTTTGTTTATTTGTTGTTAAAAATTCCCTCTTAAGAATCTCTTACTCAAATGTACGCGCCACCACTTGCTGGTGGTGAGCTGCAAATTATGTCCTTTGAATTTGGCACTTTGAGAAGTGGGGGCCCTTAAGCAGTGAGGGATCTTTTTCGTGTTAGCATATACTGCGACACAGGGCTCGGTTTATTCGGTCTCATGTGCGAAAAGTTTGTTTCTACGTTCCACAGGGGGATTCAAATATGCAACGTTCCTCAGATGTTAATTCTAAACAAAGGAATATATATCTTAACATAAAAACTAGGATGATATTAAATAGAAGAAGCACAACGGCAATATGTAATAAAGAGTCTATGAAAATTTCGTTCAGTTGTGTAAAAGGAGTTGCGGAGATGGGTAAACCGGAAGCGAAACAAACAGATGGACGGAAATCCCGATTAATAAATACCCTCCCTCTTTTCAAGCAGGGGGTATAAAAATTATTAGATATTAGATATTCGTTCGGACGAATTAGAAATTTGTTCGGTTAAATAAGTTATTTGTTCGGACAAATAAGTTATTCCTTCGGACGAATTAGTTATTTGTTCAGACGAATTAGATATTCGTTTGCACAAATTAGATATTCGTTCGGAGGAATTAGTTATTTGTTCGGACGAATTAGATATTCGTTCGGACGAATTAGATATTCGTTCTGACAAATTAGAAATTCGTTCGGACAAATAAGATATTTGTTCAGGCAAATTAGATGTTTGCACAAATTATCTTGTAAAGAGAGATATACACTTTGTCTATTCAGGAGGATTCATCCTTTTTTAATATTTTATACTTAAATAGCTCTTTGGACCATGACATACACACGTTGCAACAAGACATGTGGTAGTACAGTCGAGTATGTTGATTGTAAATATTCGGTAATAATGGATCCATACCGGTATATATTATAGGCCTAAAGTCTGCCATTCTGAAAGTATATTTTCTGAGAGCCCACTAGTAAATTCAAAGGGTCAGTTACTTCTTATCAAAAATCTTTTCACTCCCATCCCTGACTAACACTGGGGTGTTTTACTCCTTCTGCATGCAATTGGTTCGGGAAAAAATTGGCATTGAAAAAGTAAGCCCCCCACCCTACGAAATAGGACTGTCAGCTTTGGGCAACTTTTCCTGAGTCACCCCTTTTTTTTGCTTGTCAACTTTTCGGGTAGCTATTTTTTCTCAGCCCCCCTCTCCCCCCACTTTCAAAAACGATGCTACGTGGCTGCATTGTATAATATTGAATACACTTCAGACTCAAAATATCGAGCCTTTTATTCGAGGGTCTTATCCTTTTAAGGTGGGGCTTACTAGCTAGGACATTTGTAGACTTCTTCTATACCGCTGTTCCCACAGTTAAGTATTTTGTGATAAAGGAACAAAAAGAGGGAATCTCATAAGTCCATCTCCAATGGATTCTTTCTAAGATCGTGAAAAAAAATATTATCAAGTATCTAAATAAATTGTATTTTATATTCAAATATCAGAAAAAGCGCATTAGTTAAAACGTGCAGGTATAATATTGACCAAATTAAAGACACACCCCTTTCCGGGAAAAGGGTACAAAATTGATGAATACATGTACGTTCCTAGAAAGTGCGGTAAAATTTAAAAACACATCATAATTTAATGCAAGTTAAGGTTCTCAATGATGTAAGATAATCGATCGTTTTTTAAATAGAGGAGGGGGGGGTTGTTACTTGAAAATATTTTGACATTCATTCATGATTTATTTTCCCCGTAAAAGGGTTTTCTTTCATAATTCCCCTTTCTATGTGAGTCATTGGCCTAACAAACCTTCGAACTGGTACTTAACTGTAAAAGCGTTTTAACAAAATTAAGAAATACTGAAAGAAAAATTAAATAGTTTGTTCGACTATATGTACCTCTCCAATAACGGGAGGGTGCTATAATTATGCTCTGAAAATCAATGGACTAGGGAATATACCAGATTGATCGGTTGACCTCGTAATTTACCGGCTCGCGAGTCAAATGAACAACCTGGGATCAATACGAACAGGTTCATTTTTGTGAAGTTTTCCAACTTCACAAACAGGAATATTACATATAATTAAAAACTCAATGAGGACCTTTTCATCATTTTATACACTGCATATGTACCAGATTGATTGATTGAATGTTTTACGCCGAATCGGCAATATTTCAGCTACAAATCGGCGACATATGTATCAGAAATGTATTTCAAAAATCATTCATATGTCATGAATAATAACTGCACGGTAGTGAATATGTACATAAAAATCATCAGAAAGAGATCAACATTAAAACGAAATTATCTTCAAAATATTTATTGATAATGTTGTTCATAAAAGTTATTTTGCAAAGAATCAAAATAAAATGAAACATCTTGGTGCAAACCGCACATTATTCGCGGGGCCCTGATAGTTGTTCACAATATCTCTAATTTGTCCGATCAAATAACTAATTCGTCCGTACAAATAACTAATTTGTCCCAACAAATTTTTAATTTGTCCGAACGAATATCTAATTGGTCCGAACGAATATCTAATTCGTCCGAGCAAAAAACTAATTCGTCCGAACGAATTTCTAATTCGTCCATACAAATAACTTATTTGTCCGAACGATTTTCTAATTTGTCCGAACAAATATCTAATTTGTCCGAACTAATATCTAATTCGTCCGAACAAATAATTTATTCGTCCGAACGAATTTCTAATTTGTCTGAACGAATAAAAATATTTTTTTTACCTGGCCCTCCAGCGGCGCCGTATGTCTTACATTATACATATAACAAAAATGAAATTGTACGTCTTTTTGTTTTTGGATTGCGAATTTCGACGGATATTTGCCTCTACACGACATTAATTTGGTAGTTTTAGAGATCAAACGCTATTTTGTAAATCATTTATGAATCTGATTTTTATGACTAAGATCTTTTTTAGTCAAAAAGTCGCATTTTGCTCTTCATTTTGATTCAGAAGTATAATATTCTAATTGAAGCTTGCGAATAACCTTTAAATTCTTTTGAGATATCAATAAAAATGAGAAGCCCCTAGTGTTTGTCACTCGGGGGGGGGGGGGGGGGGGGGCATAAAATTATATTTTGGTTAAATTTCTTCTGTAGTGTTAAACTTTCTGTTCCAGAAATTTGTCTGGAAAACATTTAAGTTCGTATTTCTAGCTCAAGGGTAATAAATTCTCTGTTCAGTTATGTTAAATGTTGCTTGAACCATAATGCATTTTCAGAAGAAATGTATTTCTTTATTATATAAACAAACAAATATAACATAGTTTGTGAGACAAAATTTGACAAAAATGGCCCTCCAACTTTGCAAAATTTATAAAGGAATAATAGACATTTATATCACTAAGAGTTATCTCTCTTAGAGTATCAAAACTTAAAACAATAAAATTGTGCTGAAAGTACTTACTCTGCACCAGACATCTCAAATTTTTCTTACTGACTCCTTTCAGTCCGTAAAATTCTGGAATGTCTCCGTCAGTCCCATCTTTGCAATAGTAATACAAGAATCTCAAATCCTGATCAGGATACCTCTCATATTCACATTCAACAATCACTCGTATTGCCATATGGTCTTCTGAATGTCTTAAATTAAAGAAGATTCTCAGTTAACAGATATATTTTGCATTTTTTATCATTTGGATGTCTATCTCTTTTACATACTGTCTAGATGTCTACTGTCTTCATGAAATTCCGCGTAAAATCGGGGCACAGATTTTTTACTTTTCTGTACGAAAAAGATCTAGCGATATACCTGTATCTAATACTTCAATTTGCAGTTAAGTAAGGACTTCTAGCAAAATATTACCTTGCTCAAAACCCTGCAATAAGTCTGGCCGTAGAAAAATAGGAATAAATACGAGGCACATGGAACATAACACCCATGTGTGTTATTTTGGTTTGTTCTTTTCAACAAGATATCCCCCTGATTACTATTGTGACCCAACCCTCCCATATGGTCATGATTCTAACACTTTTAGGATCTATACTGGTCAACTGCATGTCAAAAAAGAGGCGGCCACGGGCCTTACTGATTATCTGAGTATCAGGCGACAACTTTCCAGCAATTGGTATTGTTTCCTGTTTTGAACCAGAGTTCATGAAATTTACAATTACAATTTTGTAAGAGGCGCCATTACTTATCATTACTGTATACTTATTTTAATGCTACAAATGTAATTTGGTTACTTAATACCCAGAGGTAGATCAGAGTACAAAGAAAAAATGGATTTTCATTTTAATAACCGGTTGTGTACAACATCCCACAGAAGCCATTGACCCTTGGCCCACATATTTCAAGTTTGAAAACTTTTCACATATATTATATTTTATCATAAATGGTTGATTAATACAAAAAACATATATTAAACTAAGCATTGATGTTTTCATACTATGTAGCCCCCCCCCCCAAGTACCCCTGACAGAGTGGCCCTGAAATTCATCATTTAGTAAGAGTCATCTTTTTTATCATTAACATGTACGTAGGTCATTGGCATAATACCAAGGAGAATAGAAAAAGATTTATAAGAGAGGATTTTCAAAGAATCCATGTTTTCTTACTATATAATCATTAAAGTTGTGCCCTACACTAGAACCTCTGAACCAGGGGCTCTGAAATTGATGAATCTGGAAAAATGGATCCTTTCTCATCAAAACTTAGTATATAAGTTATTGGTTTAATACCAAGGAGCAGAGGGGAAGTTTTTTATGTGCCCAGGTTGATAGATACGGGCATAATGTTTTTGTCCTGTTTGTTTGTCTATGTACATGTAGCTGTATGTCAATTTGTCTGTCTGTCTAGTTTCAACATTAACATTCGCCATAACTTTTGAATCATAAGAGATAGAGACTTCATATTTGACATGCGTACTCCACTAGTTAAGCCCTTTCCAATGACCTCAAGATCAATGACCTTGTTGCCTAGACTGTGACCTATATGCTAATGATAGTTTTTTTCGAACTGTGTTGTAACAGGGCGTGCGGTGTTTCACAAACATATCTGGTTAAAGAATGTATATTCACTAAATCATCAGTAGAGATCCGCCCTAATATCAGAACCCCATATCCAAGAGACATGAAATTTTCAATTTTGGAGGAGGTATTCTTGGTCATTATTACTATGTACTCAGGTAGTTTGTTTAATATCCAGGGGCAAAGAAGATTTTTCAAAAAAAGAATTATTTTCACGGTGGAATCAATAAAACCCTAGCGTATCATCAGATCACGCGACCCAGGGGCGATGAAATTCACAATTTGAAAGAGACATTGTTGCTAATTATAACTATTACCATATACCCAGGTAGGTATTTTAATACCCAGGGGTAGAGAAGATTAACAAAGAGTTTATGCGATTTCAATAATATATAATCAATAGAGCAATCCCTAACACCAGAACTCTTGACGACTGGGCCGTGAAATTTACAATTAAGAGGCAGCTTTAATCACATAATAATGTAAGTGGTTTGTTTATTTAATACCGATCAGCAAAGAAGTAGATTTAAAAGAATTAATGCATTCTCACTAATGTGACATTTTTTAGCCCCGCCCTAGTTTTAGAATTACTGACCCTGGGGACAATTTAGGTAGAGAATTTAATGCTATTTACAATCGTGTCATCAGTTTGACAGCATGATGCCCAAGAGTAAAGTAAAAGATTTTAAAAGATTTAAATCGTTTTAGTGGTTTTAATCCCACCCTTACGACTGAAGGGGAGCAGGGACAATGAAATTCATAATTTGTATTCCCCCTTTTAACCAAAACTGCTTAAATTAAAATTGGTAATTGGTTGAAATTGGTTGAGCGGTTGCAGAGAAGAAGCTGAAAATGGTCGAATACACGACGCACGACGGACGAAAACAGAAAGCAAGAAGTTTACTCAGATGACCTAAAAATCCTTAAAATTTTTTATTCAAAATTATTTAAAATTTTGAATCCATATTGTACCTCCATTGACTACGGTTTTATGCCACAATAAGCTGAATATTACCTGAATATTTCAGCTTCAGTTTTTCCGGCCTGAATATCGGATTTTTCGTGAGTCACAAGATATATCTTAGTGCTATTTCGTTGGTCAATAGGAACGAACGATGAGGAAACTATCGCAATAAATCTTGCTCTGAAAATATCTTTTTTTGAAATATCCCTGAAATAAACATAATAAAACAAAATAAATTAATTGAATCGGAGCATTAATAGTATCTCAGTACACGCATAAAAATATAAAAAAAAAAACAAATCACTACCATGTAGAATAAAGGAAAAAAAATCATATAATATCTGTACTTTTTATTTTTCATTTTTTTTCCAACTTTTTCTTTCTGTGCTTCAATCTTTTTCGAAGTTAGTTGTTCAGCTTTCTTTTTCTGTAAAAAAAAATGAATCAAATGATTATTATGTCAAAATACCATCAAAATAACATTTAAACACTGTTGAAGGGGTAGTACGTATATTGATAAATTTCCAATCTTAGTAATCAAGGCGATATCCGTAGTGAAATTCATAAACCGATAACTATCATTTTTTTTATTACTTTCAAAGGCTTAATGTTCACAAAATCTTCTTGTAATGAAACCAAAATTGATGAGGAAATATGTCAGTTTAAATAAACTACACAAAAGTATTTTTTCTAGTTATTTTGTCAAGCTAATGGCTGTATCTGATGAATAACATCATGTATCTTTTTATATATATATATATATATATATATATATATATATATATATATATATATATATATATATATATATATATATATATATATATATACCCTTTCAAATTAATTTTAATTGTTTTCCCAGGGTTTTTTTTTAAGGATTTAAAAAAAAACCCCTCATTTTATTTCCCTTTTGGAAGAGGTCGCTACGCTTCATTTGCATAACCTTAAATCTCCACCAAACTGAGACAATTTTATTAATAATTGTCCAATCGATTTAGCAGAAGAGGAAAAATTTTCTTAATGCCGAAAATTACTTGTTTTATACATCATTTTACATGAGAATGGTTTACTAGTTGTAACTGTGTTGTAGCAGCCCTGTAAGAAATTCTACTGTGTACATCTTTGAATAATATGGACTTCTTGCAATCCAGAAGAAGGTGCATTTTTTTATTATAATGCTATAGCACTGTTAATGTTATATCATTCTTGAGAATTTCTTTTCCCGAGTTAGAATTCATATGAAGTAACAGAAAACTAGAATATATTTATTCTGACAAACTCATCATAACCAGTGCTAAATATCCTATCATGATAGACAATTTACAATTTTCCCGCATTATTTGTTTAATTGTTAACGCAAAAACATAATGACATCAAAATGAACTTTATTAAAGCCCAACACTTATTTTACGTTACATTAAATTACAAAATTTATTTAACTATTTTTATCGATGTCAATATGTTAAAACTGCTGATGATATCATTAAAACCGGTCGGTTTTTAATTAATAGTAAAAGTTTTATGTTAGTTATTGGTGTATATATGACATAGACTTTTCACTTAGGCATATTCCATGTAGCACGCTAAAATATACACTGTATTATTACCTTTTCATCTTTGGATTTAGGTTTGGTGGTGTTGGGAGCATCAGATTTTTTCTCAGCTTCTTTTCCTGTTGGTCTGAGAGAAAGAGGTCTTTAAAGTTCTAGTCTAAGTCTAACAGAATTCTAATTTTTTACTTTAAATCTTACAGAATTGTTTTTTCAAGCGTTTTAAGTTAGTCCTTCAAATAGCTAATCTATAATTTTCAATATTCGACATTGTACTAAGTTATACTAGATATATGAACCCATTAATTCTAATAAGTTCGGGATAGATTGCTTATAAATCCGTTATTGTGTTTTGTATCAAGATATACTTTGTCTTCTTTCACGGTTACTCTGTGACTAATCATACCGACTGCATGTATTTCGAATCAAAACTACGTACTATAGGTACAGGGACATAACAAAATAAAGGAGCGTAAAGGATCTAATTTTAATTAGACTGGGTACTTGCGAAATAAAATAAGAATGACAATGCCGTGCAATTCAAAAATTTAGTTCGTTGTTAGGGTTAATATCCATCCCAAGATACATTCACAATACATTTCACAATAAAGACGTGCACTGATTTTTTACATTTTCCTTCTATCTATTTTTTTATGGAATTTTACTATATTGATATCCATACTATGTTGCTCCTGCCTAATTATTGATAGGGGTAAGATTATTATGTATCAATATTTACATTTCCAATGTCTTTGTCTGAGATAAAATTACCAAATGAATTGTAAACGTAATTTATTTCCTCATGAATGTTTTGGCGCGGTTCCAATAAAACTGTCTTATTTTTCGAATTCATGAAGATGATCAATGGATTGGCTTGTGTGATAATTTTATGCATAAACGCCGAAAGCGTTTATGCATAAAAATAATTTTATGCATAAACGCCTTCGGCGTTTATGCATAAAATTATCACACAAGCCAATCCATTGATCACTTCATGAATTCGAAAAATAAGACAGTTATTCCTTGAATGCAACGCATATAGAAAAAGCAGAGGAATTAAGAAAACGACACACCTAACAGCAAAACTACTTCTGCCTTAAATGTTGAGATACATGTATATTTTTGTTGAATTGTTATTATATATTTTAATTTCTTTGTGAAAAAATGGTAGAGTGCAGAATACAATCAATAATCTTAATTTTTTTTTCAAAAGCAAACAGACCTTTGTCTTCTTTTTTCTGTAGATATTGGATCCACGCTACTACCTTTGTTCTGAAAAAAAAACCACCCTTAAATCTGTTTGCATTATTATACATGTAAGTTAAACTATATAATTATATAAAGTATAAACAAAAAGTTTCAACATGACAAAGATTAATTTTTTTCTGTTTGAAATATAATCATGCTTTTGATGTTTTTTATAAGAATGAATTTACCATGCATCGGAGCAAGAATACGCTATGGATTAGACAATATTCATATTCCATCAGACACATATTATTTAAACCAGTATAAGTCATCTCAATATAAGTGCTTAAAACTTAGAAAAATGAAGATTATCGCATATTAACAAAATTAACCAGTAGTTAAAATTTGATTGCCATCATCAATCGAAATATGTTTTAAATTTTAGCTGCATTACTACACTAGTGTCTTTGTCTCGATCGTCCTCATCCTCTAATTTGTAGACATGAATAGAGTTTTCTTTATACATCATAAGTCGATAACTTGTATTTTCAATGAAAATGTTGAGTTCTTGTTTTGTAATTTCCGTAAAAAAAATTTGTCAGTTGTTTAGGTGGGATCTGAATGAAAATAAAAGTGAATACCCATGCATCGGAAAGTGGCCAGTTCTTGGATAATTTGTGTCCAAATTACGGAAAAATGAACATACTGGTGAAAAAAAAACCCGCAAAAGATACAAAAATTGAAGTGTATAAAAGGTCTGTAAAATAATCAATCATTGACAAATCTACCGACACCCGACGCGTTCCATTAAAGTCTTATTAAAAGAATGAAAACTCTAAAAATTGGCAAAATCATAAATAAAAAAAACAACACAATGAAAAGTTAAATACAGATCATATAAATTAACATCTTTATATAAATGAAGAGTTTTTATAGACGTCGTTGGCTTTATTTAATCAGTTATCCATTTGGAATTTATATACTGTGTATTAAGAACGGACTGTTGTAAAAATACTTTTTAGCATTCCAGATCAAAAGTCCATAAAACAGTACAAAATAGGAGCAGAGTGAACACGGACTTCCAAAATATCAGAGGTGCATGGGATCAGATGCCATGGAGGAGTGAGCATCCCCTGCAGACCTGTCACACCTGCCGTGTACTCCTTTTCATCGATAAAAATATATGTACTTCAAAATACATTAGAAAAAGGAATTGTTACTTCATTATTCTGTCTTATACATGTACTCACCAGTTTCATTTTCTTGTATTCTTTACTTTTGTCTGTAGATTTTCCATTGTCAATGTTAGTTTCATCCCTAAATAAAAACAATATATTTCCCTAAATTAATCAGGATTTCTTTTGCATATTCAACGTTTTCTTTAATAACAATTAAGAGGGGTTTACGGTCGTGGGCATTTTCAAACTGTATTCCTCTCCTTTAGAAGAAAAGCTCCATATAAAGATATACAAAAATGATTTGAAAATGACTGAACAAAAAACTTTACTTTCACTCATTTGCATATATGAGAACAAGAGGCCAAAGGGTCACATGAGTAGATGTATAATGCAACAAAGAAAACAATTCTTAGAAGAACATGTATAAAATGAACTGCTGAATGAAGCTTTATCACTCCAAACCAAGAACAATAGGATGATCAGGATCAATTAAATCACTACTCTAGTACTCATAAAGTACATGTAATTTCCTCTTGCCCCAATTCATCACTATAACCATGACGAATACTAAATAGCTAAAAGTTATTCGGTACTATTTTAAACCCACACTATAACACACACACCCTTACACACACCGAGAAACATCAGATCCTTAAATTACGCCTCTAAAAATTGGAAGAAGCACCTTTGCTCATCAGGAATATGCAATTTATTTACCTGCTCAATACCCAGGAGAATAAATATTTATTATTAAGTAGGATAAATGCATTTGTACTACATTATCAATAGATCCCCCCTTTGCACAAGATCATTTGAACCAGGTTAAATGGAACACTTCTGGAAGAAAACCCTCTTGGTCATCATAACTATATTCTCTTAGTATATTTGCTTTATAAGGAGCAGCAGTAAAGATTATATCAAGGAAACTATTCATTTCAAATATTAATAAAAAAAAAAAAACACCCTCCAACAGAACTCCCGTCCCTGGGATCAAGATCTTAACAATTTTGGAAGAGGCATCTTTGATATCATAATCAAACTTTTAGTTTGCTTTGATAAAACAATAAGCAAGGAATGCAATTTTCAATGCATTAACGCCAATATATTTTCACTATCGTAAATCACTTTTTTTGAACTCGGGAAAGTTAAATTCACGCGTATAGTATAGTAGCATTCCGTTGCATTGTTTAGAGCAATAAAACGTCCCCTCTCAGTACAAATTGTCGCGGGAGATGTACAATTATATGTACCGGTCAGTGATGATAGGTTGACGACAATAGATGTATGTACAAAACGACAATTTGTTCAATCACATGAGCGAAAATTTGTTGATTTTTTCAAAATCACCCAAAACAATGCCAGAATGACATGAATGAGGAAACAAATATTTTTGCTAAGAGAATATTTTTTATAATATATAATGCATGTACATATAAAGATTAAATGAGGAAAAAAAGTAGTTTATTAGCATTGCTTTTCTTTCCTTACAGTGATCTACTACTTTCTTTGTGGTTAGAGCGTCTGCCCTAGAGTCGCAGAGTAACGATCTGATCCTAACCTTGCGAGTTCGAATCAACTACGGGACGAGGAGACCGGCAGAATGACGAGAGCCCATGTCGCAGTAGGATTTGACAAAAAAAATATCCGTCGCAACAAAATGGTCAGAGTAATAGGTAAAAATTCGCAGTCCTTCATTGGTAAATGGTGGCGTCTTAAAATGACTGAAAAATTCTAGAGAGGGGCGTTAAACATCAAACAAACACACACACAGGGAGGTTATTAGTCATCATTTTGAATTTACATGAAAAATAATGGATGATTTAAAGACAAAATTTTCAAACCCTGTTGCTTGTAGCTGATCCGTTGACTCTTTGTCGTCTGCATTTCCCTGAAGTATAAAACAAAAATTTACTATAGATATCCATTAGTATCCATTAATGGTATGGCACATACTGCATTAACAAACTTCAACAACTTCTGTTTTCAAATAGACAATTTCTTTAGATACACATGCATTCTTTTTCATGTGAATGAAGAAATTATCCATGTAATTTATTTTTTAAATGTTTATGCAAAGAAGATGGGTACACCATTTTTTTGCCGGTGTCAAACGTTGTGTAAGTTTGCATGTGCAATATATAAGAGATTTATTTTCAATTCTACAAAATATTTAGAATTGCTCACCTGAAATTTCTAAATCTTTCAAAAAAACATGGATGTCGACCATTATACATTTACAAGATTACTGATTTATAAATTGTAATTTAAAAGATTTCAGATAAAAATATAGAATATATATATATATTTAGTAATAAGATTATTTTTTGTAATTCATCAACCTACCTCTTCATACAATTGGCCTTCATTTGAAGAAATTTCTGCAGGGCAATATCTATCCTCAGTAACATCCAGACTGTAAAAACAAAAAAAACATATCTATGCATGCTTTAACTAAGACAGGCTTCTTCATTTATTTTTAAGGAGATCCGGGAATTTTTTTTCACTCAAGTTTCAGCTGTAAAGAGTAATGCATTAATTTTGTCAAGAAATCCTTCAGCAATGGATTCGAACCCGCGACGTAAAGATCAGCTCATAGCTGCGCGACTCCAGAGCAGATGCTCTTACCACAGCGACAAACGGACGAAAAAACAATTTATAAATACCTTTGTCTGTTTACGTTGAATTGGATGAATTGGTTTATTCAAGTCATATCAATTTCTTTTTATTAAATTCACAAATCATTTTCTATGTAATATATTTTATCAAATATTGTATAATTAAAATTTGCAATAAGTGACATTATTTACTATAATCATATGTTTTGTTTTACACTATCAGACAATGCACATTTGTTCGTTTTCTTTTACCGAATTAATGCTATTCATCAATAAGCATAAAAAAATTAATTTAGCACATTAGCGCTTTAAATTAAGAATAAGTTTATTTTAGTTCTCAACAATTTCAATAATAACTCTTATTGAAATTTACTGGGATGAGAAGGATCGAAATGTCAGTATATCAAAATGTAAAGAATTACAAATTGGCTGATGATTACAGGATATTCATTTGTTTTTTTTTTTTTTTCAAAAGGATTATCTAAATGAACACATTTACACATGTACATGTCCCAGTTATGTATGGGCAACTTATTTTCCTGATTTATGATATTTAATCAAGATACATGCAATGGTTCAAGTACTGGGGTATTTACATAAATTTCTGTGCTGTTAAGAATCCGTTCACATGTACTATATCTAATTGAGTAAGGCTTCTTTCACATAGTTCTCTCTTAATCATCAAATTACTACACGCAAATCTGTTATAAACCCACTCAAACAAATATTAACCGCTGTCAGTGAATATTCTAGACACCGGCAAATTTCATACTTATTGAGACTAACCACTTGTCAATTAATATTTTACAATAGTACCGCATTCGATAGCATAAATGATACCGAATTCTTTTGGGCAGTCTTGTAACGATCTTTTATTTTTTTACTTTGGAACCTTATGAGACTTTCAAATTACAATGTTTCAGTCGAATTCAGTGCCTATGAACTAAACCCGCTTCCTAAAGCAATATACGAACAAACAGGTCTACAATAAAATTCGTTCCGAAAAAAGCAATCAAACATTTCGGTATTTCTTGCATCAGTGGTCATAGACACGTCTCTACAGAAGGCAATTAGTCTTAGGGCTGTCCCTATTCTATTGTAATAAAAGATTCTTAGGACATCTTCAGAAGTAGAGTGACATTTTGGAAGATGCTTTCTTTCGGACAATTGTGGCGATTTATAAAAAGAAAACAGAGTTTACTGATGTTTTTGTATGTGAATTTACGTGGGTTGATTTCTTGAACACAGATTTCCTCTTCGGTCCGTAATTCTCACATACAGAAAAAATCGCTATTTTTATCCTTTCAAAGGGTAATGCTTGTTAATGTGATTTTTTTTTATTGAAGAAAGTTCTTTTTTATGTCTTGTCTTAATTCCAAAATTGTATCGACCATTTTTTCTATTTTAGATAGATAACAAAATAAAATCGCATAACCTCTCATCTGGATCCTGATCCATGGACTCTCTATCTTTTCTTTTTTTCTAAGTTTGGTAAAGAAAAAAAATACTATTCATTATAATGAAAAAAGTTCTTTTGGAGCATGGATTAAATTTTCATTAATGTAAAAAACAATAATGCACACTTTCTGTCTTTTGGACCGTTACCCTTCAATATTTTGATTAAAATTATCTCACCCGCACTTTAGCTCCACTTTTATCTGGAGGTTCTTTAACTGGATGTAAAGAGTTGTCGAAAGTCTTTTTTCTGAAATTGAGATTGCATCTGAATATATATAACATGATATTGATTTACTGAATATAATATTATAGCGTTTTTTTCATAATATCTCAAAATACATCTCTTTTGTTAACGTTTGAAGTAAATTTTCGAACCTGATATTGACAATTTCCGCTCCAGAGCCAAGCTCGTCCGGATTCTTAAAAAAATATTTTTTTAGTATTTTGAGGTCAAAGTAGAATAGGTAAAGACAAATCTTTTTTATTGAGTTTATTATTAAGAAACATGCGTTTTCTTTTATTAATGAAATGCAGTTAACTGTGAATGATAAAGTTTGCTTCATTGCTTCAAAGGAAAAACCAATTTACCTCTCCCAAAATGTAGCTCTCGGAATCATATTTTGAATCTGAAAGTCGTTGTGTAAGGAGACGGCTTTCTGAAATTCTTGCCTCAGTTCTAGTATAAGCACCTCTCCTTCTTATTCTGCGGCCACTCACCTTTTCTTCGTTTGATTGAATTGAAGCGCCTAAAGGTTCCTTTAGCTCACTCTTTTCGTCACCACCCTCGGATTTAAAAACATCGTCTACCATGGTGTCCATATCAATTATGTTTTCCTGAGCTTTTTGTAATGATTCTGCAAACATGGTATCAGAATTGTCCGTCAACAGTGTAAGACAAACGAGGTAGACACTCATAAATTAATTATAAGCTAACAAAGGCAAATTTATTACTGAAAGATGGTTTGAATGCGCATATTGGTGTCCATTTTACCTTGTTTGGGAGGAACCATTACGCCTTCTGATCTTACTGTTGCTGATGACATCTTGGTGGTAGAAGGTGTTTGGTTTATATCACACGAATTTCCTGAAACAGATTCATTTAAATAGAAACAAATCCCATTTAGTCTATATAAAAACATGTTATGAAATACACTATATCGATATAAGCGTATTTATGAGAGGTTAAATCGTGTAACTTCGACAGCATATTTTGTCCGAAAAATATGTTGTAGCTATAGTTATATCATCGCCGATCCAAATTATTTTTTTTAAACCTAAGACATAATAATGAATAAGAGTGTTGCAACCACTAATGAAATAACGACACTATTGAAATAATTATTCAAATAATGGTTGAGAGTGCATTTCAATAACAATGTTGAAATACCACCATTATTTGAATAAATATTTCAATAATGGTTTGGAGTGCATTTTAATACCAAGCAAACGTTGCAACCACTATTTAAATAATGTTTACATTTGAAAATAAAGTTTGAAATAGAATTGAAATAATGATTTCAAAAGTGATTTAAATAATTATTTTGATAGTTGCTGAAAATTAATACTAAAACGAAATTGAAAGTTTTATTGAAATAACTTAACTATTAAAAAATAGAGGATTAATGGTTCTTTACGTCTTCCAACTTTTTAATTCATTTATTGAGTTTATTTACTATTGAAATCACGACTATTTTTTAATGATCATTTTAAAAGAAGTTGAACATACGTTTCAAAACACCGTACCGCCACATTATAATCACTATTGAAATAACACCTATCATTTAAATAAACCTAATACTAACTTCCCTAGAAATTTAGCTTTTTAATGTTTTTTATATCCGTATTTGTAGTGTAGGTAATCCCATGAACATGAGTGACAAATTAAGGTAGGACAAAACACCTGTGGATTCTATTTTAACCAATTTCTAAAAAAGTACTGGAGAAAAAAAATAATATTACTATATTGACAACAATGACTGGTCCCTGTAAGAAAAATAATAAGTTTTTGCAAGTTTTCGTCATATTTTGTGAAAAAAATCAGAGAATCCTATATATTGGTCACTTGGGGGCTTACATTTGGGAATGTGTTTATGCTATCTAAGTGCAATAAACAAGCAGGTAACTGTTGTTCCATAAATAGTAGAGGGCTGGTATTTGGACATATATATACATGTATAAGGAGTCTCCATTCTATATGTGCTACAAAGATCAAGGTCATATCATATTAAGAGGTCAAACAAATATTGTGACGTTATCTAATGAATCTTTTAGGTTTTTCTGCCATTGAATTTTTATTAATCGGCAAAATATCGGAAACCACTGGTTCAATTTTCTTTATTTCTACACAATATTTTCTAGGACCCATTTGAATCATTCTGCTGATTTTTTGTAAAAATTGAATCATACATTTTCTCTTCAGAAATCTTTAACTGTCGGATATTTACAAGCAAATTTTCAATTCCGGCGCTATGTATGTTCTATATTTACTTAATATTTTGCTCAAAGTTTCCAGTATCAATTAGTAAGTAACAAAGGTTATCTTTATTAAAAGTATCACACAGATTTGCAATAGATCAATTGATAATTCTAAAATAAGGCTCATTCTCAAGTTGAATGTCTGATTTCACAATCTTCTTACAGGGGTCTGATAGGCCATATTTCAGACTATGTGGGCAAAAAATGTTTGGTTGAATTTCTTTCATATCATACATAGAGAAAGATTTTATATCCTAAAACAAAATATCAAAGTTTCAGAAAAGTTGATTTTGAGAAAAAATTTGGCCTATCTATTTTGCCCTACCTTAAGTTTTATTCTAAATTCTTTTTATCAAAACTATCCATATTTTCTTCAGAAAATTATCAGTCTTCTTCCTTTATTTCAGTGTAGTCCAGATATTCTGATTTCTAAATCTACATGTATCAATTATCCTTTTATTTCAAAATCAATGACAAAAATGAACTTTTTAAAACACATTATTTCAAAATTACATACATTAATTGATTATCTGTTGGTTTTCGTCGATTCGACCAGATTCAGCGGGAGCTTGCTTACATGTATTGGGTATATACCGAATACAGTTCTGTATTAAAAAATATCAGACAGTTTGAGGCTTGTTAGGGCCACACTGTTAATGACCACTGAAGCAATAAAGCACTTTCAAAAAAGCAAGCTTCAATGAAAAATACTCAGTATTTAGGGACTTGGCTACACTAAATTAAGAAGGTATTTGAAAGAATTTGATAAGGAGAGCGGGAACAAATTTTTCTTCATTAAAACATTCACGGTGAAGAAAGCAGTGCAACGGATTATCATACAGACAATCTAGTAAATGATGAATTTGGAATGGAAATTAAGCGCCGATATGAAGAATATCCGCAGAAATTTAAGCAGGTGCTAAAAGTACACAAGTCCATTTAATTTTTTTTTTTGGATGTTCCATTACACAAACATAATCAATAATCCAGGAGTTTTGAGGGACACGTTAAAAATCTTCATATTTCTTTCAAATTTTGTTGCGAATCTGTCAAATTTAGTAATCAGTATCATATATTAGGCCTAGGTACCTTGATTTTGCATCTAGACATTTTTCTTTGAATGAGAAAAATGAATTCATATTGTTTGAATGCTGCTTTTTATGAAGTGTCTAAACTTTGCGTTTAATTATGAATTTATTTTGGGGGCTTTGAAAGTTTATCATCGTCGCAAGCCACGGGTTTTGTGTCCATTCTATTTCCACCGGTTCGAATGGAAAGGAAAACATCTTTACCATCCAATAGATATTTAATGGTTTCGGATTGCAAATCTGTGAAACTTTCAATGACAAACACACGTTTTACTTCTTCCGCCATATTGCGAGTAGTGCCGATTGCGACTAACAACGCTAATTCTCATTGGACAGACTCCATCTGACAGAATCCTTCAGAAGGGAATTTCATTGGTTAAAAGCTTTTATGAATATTCATGAGAACGAGGGAATTTTGCCTCACGCAGCCACGGGTTTGTGAAAATAGAATGGACATAAAACCCGTGGCTTGCGACGATGAAAGTTTATGTGCTTCTCTGGTGACCCCCAGTGTGTCCAATTTTTTTCAAAAAAAAAAACAATAGAGAAAGGTGTTGAAACACTTCTCCAATTTTGATAAGTTTATCAGAAGTTAACCACCTTTTTATGTGCATTATCTGGTTGGCCGCATGTTCATTTTTCTATTACAGCATATTCGTTGTAATTGAAAGTTTAATTGTTTTTTTTATTTTGCAATTCTGTAAGATCAATATTTCAAAATCACCATTCTATGTGGGAAATTTAAATTACTGTTTGTTAAATTATCACTTATTTCATTTGTTCAGTAGCCGTCCAATTTTGAAGGATATCAGTACTGAGACACTTTGATATTACGATTAATATCAGACTGCTCACTATAATATCGGCTGTACCACTTGAACCTTTAGACTGCAAGAACAAATGAATGATATCACAACAATGTTTTAACATTAGCATACATATTTGAATTATAGGTAAGTATAAGAAAAAGTGTCCGTATATTAATTAAAATTTCTACAAAAAAGGAAAACAAAACAATTTTACTTATCATATTTTAAACTCAATAAATTAGTTTATTGTGTTAGAAAACAGAATGTGTAATTCATCCTTATATTTGTTTTAATATTTGGGATACTTCTATAGAGCTTGCAATGTATTTTTGGTATTGAAATCATTGTCAGCAACTATTATTTTTTTAATATTTATTGGAATCATTGTTTAAAGCACTATTAAAATAAATATTTCAGTCACTTTTGAAATCTATATGTTAATCACTTTTGAAATATTTATTTCAAAAGTGAACATTATTTCAACAGTGGTTGCAACCTATGTTTGGTATTGGAATACACTATCAGCCACTATTGAAATTATTTGAATAGTAGTCGTATTTCAATGGTGGTTGTATACTATGTTTGTTATTGAAATGTACATTTAACCACTTCTGCAATAATTGTTTCAAGTATTTTTGGTGGTCGTTATTTCAGTACTGGTTGTAATATATGGGTTTTGTTTTACGTTTATGGATGCTTTACAGGAACCGTTTATGATAAAGAATTGAATAAAAATACAACACTGTAGTGTATAAATCCTGTTCTGCAAAATCAATCATATCATCACTTTTTGTAAAGTTATATCTGCATATGTATAGTTGAGAGTTGCTGGGTTGTATGTTTTTATGTTTGTAAGTTGGAAACGAATTAAATACTGTATAGGGGATTAATTTCACGGGTTGTAATTTTCACGCTTTTCTCTTCTCTGACGCTGTCGCGGTTTCTTGAATTCGCGGAATTGGTATGTAAGAAAGGGTTCCTCCCTGATCTATACATATTGAAAACTTATTCACTGTTTCTTGAATTCACGGATTCCTCAACACCGTGAATATAGCGAATATTAACACCGCGAGTTATTTTCCCCCTATACAGTAGTGTAGCGACTTAGATCAAAATTTCAGCAAAATAGTTAACTTGTGGATACAAGCATGAAATTTGGCACAAATGTCTATCTGATACTACTAAATCTAAAAACATCGTTGGCCACCGCAATTTCCGCCATTTTCAAGATGGCCGCCATTAAAACAAAATGGCGACATTTTCATGCAGTTTGGCCTCACATACATTCTTTTACAACCAAATTAATTATACTTTGACCGCTTAAAGATATCTTAAAAGTTTAAAAAGACTTTAAAAATCATATTCCAACTTGAATGCTATAAATATAAAGACAAAATAATTTTTTTATAACGCATTATATTGTTCCCTATTGTAGAATTGAAATATGTTATCACAAGAAGCCATTAAAAAAAAAACTTGTAGCAGATGTTTTACAAAAGCCTCGCAGGCGTTACCTCACTATCCAGGGGCCTGAATACCAAGTAAAATTTTGTATTTGAATTATAATGCCCTCAATAAGTAAAATAATCCCTCAAGGAGTAAAATCTGATAGAGTGAAACACTCCTCCAAAGCACGTAAAAACTCAATAAATGAAATAATCCTTTAGAGAACGTAAAATTTCATTGAGTGAAATATTCTTTCAAGCAACGTTTTATTTTAATGAGTGAAATAATCAATCAAGGAACGTTAAATAAAAGGTAATGAATCAATTTTGTATTTATGACATAAAACAACAGGTAATCATTCGCTATCCACAATGAAGAATGTCATGGACTGTGAAGACAGCACCATCCTTTTTACAACCAAAACAAACGCCTGTGTTGGCTTGTAACCAATCTTTATTTGTTCTTGCCAAAAGATACTATGGGAATTATGACTGGAAATTTATGGTGAAGATAGATCTGTTGTTAATATGTTTGATGGGTTGCATATTGAAACGGTAGCTTTCAAATTGCTTGGTGATTTGTTGAAAGGAAACCGCTGGACAACAACATTAATTCAAGCAGACAGAAGTTGCATATTCTGGAACTGCTGAGTCTTTCCTAACAGTTTCTAATCTTGCTAGAACAAGGCAAGATTATCTAATTACTGTCTGCTGTCTGTATAACGTGATAAAAAGACAGACAAAAATGCAAAGGAACTCGATAATTGCAATGAAATTGAAATAAATGACATATTTTTCACAATTAAAATTTTGGTCAAGAATTCTTTTGGAACTCGTTGTCTGTTCTCTTTTGTAAAGTCTTGCAGAGAATCAGACTTTACAAAGAATCTTTATCAAATCTGATTCCAAATTTCTTGCCCTTGGTCACATCAAATATGCTTGATGACTACCATTTCACCATTGGGGGCAAATAAAGCACCCGGACATATACTAGTACTTAGAGAAAGAATAATAGTTTTCAAACATTGCCATTGGTCAAACACATGAGCAGAACAATGCTATTGTAAAAGGTGATGGTTAACGGAAGATCCAGCTGCATTAAGGATGGTAGCTGGTCCAGAAATCAGCATACTTACTAAAGAGTTCACGTGAATATGTGGAAATGTTCACGAGAAGAAGGGAAACATCACGAAGAAACTCATGCAGCCCAAGAAAGTTTTTTCAAAAGTAAATCGGGCTATGCCTATGGTTTTGGAAATGGGAAATCCATTTGAGGAAGAGTTGTTGGATCTTTATAGTTGTTGTCGAAACCAGAACTGCAGAACTGTTATTTAAAAAGGGAGACATTGGGAAAGAACAATATAGAGAAATTCCTTTTAAAAGATGTGAAGATGATAATCCAGGTTTTATGAATTTGTTCAGAAGAATAGATTTCACCTATTTAATCCCAAACAAAAATAGGATTCTTCAAAGTCAAAGTTGGCAAATTTTGAAGATGACTGTCCCGTTTTTCTAGGTTATTTTTTGTCAAAGTAGACAGTGCGATGTACAAGAATTTTTTGAACATGAAAACCTGGAACCCCTCTCTCTCTCTTTCACAAAATGGTTTCTTCATACACATGTACGGTGTTAAATCTCAATTGCTGCCTATTTGGAAGCAGGTCAAGAGTTGCCAAATAATGTACTGGCAGTTGATTCACTGGTAATTGACAGCACGTCATTAGTCAATTCAAAACAACCTGAAATTTTAACTAATATGCCAATTTCATTATCCTTTTGCACATTAATTCTTTTGAAAAAGGAAATTTCAGGGTATAAACTATCTTTGGTGTTCAGAAAGACTATAGTTTTAAAGAAGAAACCGAAAAGAAGTGTGGCATGGGGTCTAAACGAAATGTAACTGGAAACACTAGACCACCAAAGTCATGGAACACTATTCATTCGCGATTACAGAGGCAACTATCATAGTAAAGGAAGAAAATGTTGTCAGTATTAACAAAGCTATAGATACCAACTTTATACCACTTTGCAACTATGAAGATGCTGAAACCCGCATGTTCCTTCATGCAAAACATGCAGCACCGGGTGGTAGCTCGGATACAGATGTTTTTGTTATTAGTGTAACTCTTTTTGATGAACTAAATGTGGATCAGTTATAGATGACACTTTGAAAGGCAAGGATTTGCGATGGATACCAATCTATGATGTTGTTATATCACTGGAACCATATCACAGGCATTACCATTCTTTCATGCTTTCACGGGTTGTGTAACAGTGTCGGCCTTTGTTTGGAAAAGTAAAAAGACAGCATGGCAGGCCATGAATATGTTTGAAAAGGCCACAGAAATATTCCAATTATAGAGCACTCCTTGTGAAAATTTGAAAGAATTTATAATCAATGCACTGGAAGAATTTGTTGTGATCAAGTACGATCAGCAATGGCAATATCGTAAATGACGCTCGCCTTGATACCCTCCCTAAAGAGCTGCTCGTGTAGAGGATAATAGGAGAACTGAATTCCAGGTTGGTCATTTATAGGGTCAGTCATTATGCAAGTGGCTAAATTTACCCTCATCCTCCAGTTGGGGTTGAGTAAAAAAAATGCGTATTTTGGATCCCACAATGGACAATCTTGCCTGCAATTGCTGCATCATGTCAAGAACTACTAAAATGTGGGTGTAATATAACTTCAACTGCTTCAGGTCCTGATTACCTTGTATTGCTTTATGCAGGTATACATGGTTCAGAAGATTAAGTCAGTTATGTCATTAAAACAGTTTTTGTTTGTATTTAAGCGCATGCGCAGTGTGTGTAGTTACAAAATGAAGCTCAAATTATATCATATACCAAGTTCCCTTTTATTATTTCAGAAAAAAAAATAAAGTATTACCGAGAAACATTCAAAATATTAGGAAAAATATATGAAAACAGACGCCATTTCGAAATAAATGGCGGCCATCTTGAAAATGGCCGAAACTTGAATAGCCAACGATATTTTTTATTCAAGTAATAGTCAAGGAACCTTCATGCAAAATTTCGTGCTTGTATCTGCAAGTGAAATATTTTCCCAACTATCCGCTCCGCTATAAACTTAGATATTTTAAGTAATTACCTGTTCCACACGTGAAATCACACTTTTTTACTTGTTGTCTCGTTTTATGTTATATACATGTTTATTGGATATGTGCCTGGAATGCTCTCTCTTTCGTTGTCTTTATTTTAATGGGAGATCGGGAAAAGGAGAGATGGTATGTGAATTTATGTGTGTAAAATACATACCACATTCCCCACAATAGGTTTCATTTGGAGCAATTAATCCAGGACAAGCCATCCCATCCTCCATACAGTGTGTGCATCTCACAACTTGCCATTTGCATGCTCGGCAAAATTTCTGTCTAGGTTGGACAACTGCGTTACACAGCTTATCCCCAACTAGATTTGGACATCGGATTTCATCATCTGACATTGTGGCCATAAAAATGTTAACAAATTGTATCTGAAATTAAAAAGAAATAATAGCCATAAATGAAATATAAATGTTTCTCTTGATATAATATAGCTTAAAAGCATGTAGTTTAGTTTTTCTCTCAATGAACAAGCACGCTGTGCCTTTCTTCTTCTTACAACCAATATTATTGATTTAATTCACTGTCTCAAACTTTCTTCAAATCATCAACAAACATAAAATCTATTTCCGAAAAAAGCAAGCAACGCTTTAACTTTAATCTATTTTCTATATGAATCGAAAGCTATTGTTGTTGATAAAAATCTGTTCTGGGTAATTAAACAAAAAAGTTTGAAATTTAGAGCAGAGGCATAATTCATCTTAACATATGACAACTAAACATGCCATTTTAGCAAATGTTTTAAATAACATTAAATAACGAATAAACGTTCTTCAAATTTTTGATAACCATAAAATATAAATTAAATACTTTATAACTATGTATACATTACTGATAAGGAAAAGTTCCGAGGGTATTTAATTAAAACTAAATTTAGACAAAATGGAATTATTTCCTAATTGTTTACAGAATTATTTTGGAAAAGGTTGCAAGACCTCTGTTATAAAGAAAATGTGTGTGGTTTTAGTAAAAGAAACATTTAAAATAAAGAGTTGGACCCCCAAACACACACATTCCAACACTAATGAACACACTAGTGCAAGTAACTGAACAGATGTTTCAAAAAGTCCATAACGGTAAATTGACATTACAGTGTACTTGTAATTAAAATCCAATTAAAATTAGATGTTATGATTGCTAGCATACTAGCTACACTAACATCGTCAGAGTAACGAGTATGCAAGTGCATTTCACGGGACTGTGTACACTTTAAAATACCTAAGACCACAAAATACTGATTTTGCTCTGTTTACCGAATAATTAAAATTATTCACCCTAATAAGTTGTTTGAAAATATATAACTTACACTTTTTAAAATAAATTTATCATTTTCCATGGAAATAATTATACACATTTACGCTATTGACCGTTTTAAATTAACAAAGGTTCTAACGTCTATCAACCAAACCAGTTCTGAAAGGCGTTTAATTTATAATAAATATAATTGAAATTTATTTTAAAGAACTTTATTCGGTAATAACCAATATATGCCCCCCCAAATCAAACTTTGATGGAGATATATTTAATTAAGTTCTTAAACAGGGGAGTATATGCTGACATCAAAGCACTGAATATTTTCATAAGTAATGACGTCATATGTACGTAATGACGTCATAAACATGACGTAAATTTAAGTTTTGTTTATGAATTTTACAGAAAAATGTAAATATTTCGTCGATATTTTGAGTAAAAGTCACCGAGCGCATGTGTGTTCAGGATCAATATTTTGATATAATGTGTAGAATGATAATATCAATGAAATATGTCAATATTGTTCCTTAACAAACTTGCGCTCTATAAATTTCAAAGATAAAATTGTTGAAATTTTGTCCATTTTGTCCATTTTGTCCTTTTCCTGAAATAGGATATAAAATCGGACTAGTTTGTGACGTCATAAAAACAAAAATTGTGAATACACTGCTTTGAAACTATAAAATTTTCTGTTAATTCATATTTCTCATACAATTTATTGAATTCAGCACATTTCAGGAAGTTTTCAAAATTTGACTTTTGTGGGGGCAAATATATGCAATATACCGCATATAGTTCTTTATTGAACAGAAAATAAATTAATAGATATATAAGCTTTGGTTTCTTATTTTGAGATCTCGTCTAGCAGCATCTGTCCATGTGGAAAATTCTCATTTGGTATTTAATTTGTCTTAACGCCCGACAAGTCCAATTACACGAATTAAATGCTTGATTATTGCAATCTTTAATACTTAATTAAATATTTTAAACAGTGATCTTCGTTCTCGATAAGCGTACTCAGACCCTTCTGTGTGTTATTAAACATTGCTTGATCTAATTGTCGTAAAAGATAGGGACTTATTTAAACACAGAGGTATATACACAGCAGTATCAAATAAACATTTAAGTATTGAAAATACCCCCACAAGGTGAAAAAAAGTACTTCATTAAAAATATATTATTGCGTGCAAATGCAACAAAACTTCAATTTACAGCATGAAAAGAACAAGGTTTTTATTTGTTTTGTGTTGTTTTTTTTTTTTTGTTTTGTTTTGTTTTGGTTTTTTGTTTTTTGTTTTTTTATTTCGAAATGACAAAAATTAAAACGTCAAGAAAAGTACTGTTTATCAACACTAACTAATGCAAATTTTAGAATATAATAAAACAGTAACCAATTACTTTTAGCTTTTGAACAATATAGCATATTTTTACTTCTTTTATGTATATCTTGAGAGTATTAATTCAGAGAAAGGATTCTTAAAAATATTTTGATTCCCACATCTTTCTTAAGTGTCACGAGAATGTTAATGCTTATGAATACAGAAGGAGCAAACATACATACGATGTACGAGGGTTTATCGAAAAGTTCGTGGACTTCTGTCATATCTTTTTTATGTGACGTCATATATTATCCAAATTTGGTAGAAGTATATTAACAATAAATTCATATGATTTGTATTAATATTTTTTAAGGACAGATGATACAAACAAAAAATACACTATATAATGTCTGTAGTCATATTCTCTGTAAAATGGAGTCAGAATGAAAAACAAGCTAGATAATCAAATTAAGAATTGTTAAATCGATTCGTATTCAGATTTATGGCTTAATATTTTGCTTCGTCTTAAGAAGATAAGTAAATGTAGTCCTCGTTGAAAACGACAAACACGATGACGTTTTAGAAAAGAAAGTCAAGAAGCAATAGATAACGATGCATTTTTTTGTTTTACTCAGGAAAAATCCTGAATAAGATCTTAAAGTGTTGGAGGAATATAAAGATATTTCACAAGCGAGTTGTGCATGTGTGGACAAAGAGTACAGGCAATTTTTGAGTAAAAGAGACTCTGTATCGGAAGAGGAAAAGCTGTGAAGAAACAATTTAAGTTTAAAACTCTGAACGACTTTGAAAAAATTGAACTCTATTAAAGACATGTGCTTCAGGGTTGCTTATCCTGAGAAAACAGAGCTCAGTTATAAAAGAAATTAGAACCTTAAGACAGGAAATGATATATTGGGAACAATTGTTCATTGTATTAATTAATTATTATTATATTGGATAAAACTGATGATGAAATGTAAGGGGAGAGTATCTTTTTTTTTTTTTTTTTTTTTTAGAAATTCTTGATGTAACGTTGCCTGCATGAATGTTAAATGTGCTCTGCTGGTACAAAACAGGTTGATTTTAAAATAAAATAAATTCATTTCTGTTTAATCGAATGGAATGAAACTTTACAAGTGAAGATTGACTTCGTCCATGAATTTTTCTAACAACACTCGTAAATATAAATATATATTAATGAAAGGACATTTTATGCAGGGTGTTTCACAATATATGTCACACATCTAAAGACAGATAGATAAATGACAAGTAAAGGTACATATACATTTTATATATCATTTTAATCAGCATATATTCAAAATTATTATTTTGAGTCAGAAGTATCCAAAATTCTCTACTTCAGTTACTATGGCAACAAATCCTCAAATGTTATGCTTCAAGTGTTTTCCAAACATTTTCCTAAATAACTTAAGAGACTGATGCTTATAAATTTCTAATCACAGTTTTTGTAAGATTCCCAAGATTTCTGAAACTTTTTTTGTTTTATATCTGGCTTTTTAGAACCCCCAAAGTGCAAATCTATTTTTATTTAAAGTTGCATTTAAATAAATGTTTCGTTTCAGAACTACCGGTATGAGTTAATTGGTGTCCACTTCTTTCGCTCTTCCTTTCAGCCAATCTTGCAAACTTTAACCCTGGCTCTGAATGTCATTTGACTTTAAACGTTGAAATCTTGTATGCAGACACATCTAACTAAAATTTTAAGATTCCGAAATACTCTTGATACACTTATTGGCATTGTTACAGCCCATCTCCCTAAACTCAGATCTGACTTTCATGAGGTTTTCTCGATGATTGACTTCACTCTGATAATGTTCTCATCTCTTTTTGATTTTTGGGGGGTGGGTAGGGTGTGGTGAAGAGGAGGCAGGGTCTCTGTCATTCATCTTTACATTTTAATTTAATTTAAACCCTCTACTTATTATTAATATAAGAAAAATAGAGAGTAATTGCTGGTCTAGTTATATTTTATCATCACCCCCTGTTAAATATTAAAGATATCGTAAACGGTTCTTATAATAAAAGTTTACAAAAAATTTGGGCTGCAAGTTTTACGCAATTTTGAGAATAACTGAAATTATGACATCACTGATTATATCATCGTTTACTTCATGGTTTATTATAATTTTCCCGATACTATGCAATATAATGAATTTAGATCAATATGCTTAACTATCGTGTTTTGGTATTTTTGGTATCATGCTCGATATTCAGATTATGCCCATTTAGATGTGTGACATATATTGTGAATCGGGACATCATTGTTCTCTCTAAATTAATCCACTAATATTCTCGCAGATGGATAGGAGGTTGTATTGCAGGTAAAAAAAAACACAAAATGATAATGCTATGTATTCACAAACAAATTCTTTTCAAAGCAAAACCAAAAATTAAAAAAAAATCTCATAGTATTGACGAACCAAGAATACATGAATTTCTTTTCTCTAGAAGTTGTCCATTCACTTCTTTTGAAACAACTTTCTTTAATTCAAACCGAGTTGTGAAAAATGCTGCACTCCGTTAAATAAGAATACTTTTAAGTACTTTTAAATAAACATTTATAATAACAATCAATTTTGAATGAAAGTCACTAAATGTACGTGAAACATCATACTGATTATTCTATGAGTAGAAATCAGTAGTAAAATTTAAGACTGATTATGGTATATACATGTACCAATAAACTTAACAATATGTTTTTTGAATTTACTCATACTAGTAAAAAAAAATGCCAAATGACTACAGTCTTTTAAATTTAATAAGCAAGACAAAAAGATTTT